TTGATAATAATATTGCTAGAATAGGAATACGCAAATTTTCTACCCATTTATGGTACTTTGTATCTGAGGACGTGGCATTATCCTTTTTCGATGAAATAATACCATTGAACACAAAAAGGAAAATGATTAAGGCTCTAAAAAATTATAATACGGAACGTTCAGTAAAGAAACTTGTAATACTTCCGGAAAACGTACAAAATTATGCAAACATGAATATCGATTAGATTCATTTCTACTGAATCTAAAAACTGGTTTAACAGGTTCAATATATCTACTGATTTCTTAGACAAAGACCCTTCCTTGTGGGAAAATGATATTTCATATCTACAAGGTTTGGAAATTGCAAAAAATTTAAAAGTGGTAAACGATACCGCTGAACGTGGTATCAAACTTATTACTGAATACAATAACCAGAAATGAAGAAGAAAAATAATACATTTTACAAATAATTGAGAATTATAAAAGCCTTTTTCCTGATGTAAGCAAATCTACATTAACACAGAACATATATTAAACGCTACGTACAATTTAATAATAGGCTAATTTATGAGACAACTGAAATTTCATTAAAGAATATTCTGCTGATAAGTATTAAAAAAAATTCGTTTATAAGTGTTAATACAATCGAGATTATTAAAAAATGTATCAACTTTTGTACAAATTATATACAGCTCCCAGTTGTCCAACCGTCGCATTCTCCGGTAAGCATTCTCTAATAACTTAAAAGTTACGTTTATGTGTAAATGTATTGTATGTAAATATGTATGTGTTGTAATTGTATGTAAATGCTAGTATTACAGGTGTAAAAAATTATATTTTCATTATAAAATGTTCACTGATACTTATAAAATAAAATACCACTAACATATTCGATGATAACTTGAAATCGTGCAAATTCCAAAATTTCAACTCGATTGCGGCACGGGTTCCTGTTATCCAATCATGCTAAAACTTTGACATTATCATTTTTTCATCAAGTGTCACAATTTTAGGGGGTGAGATGATGAAAAAATCGAAAAAAAGAATCGAGCTCTATAGCTAAGGGCCACCTTAATGTACATGTGTAATGTGAAAAACAGACTTATTGTAAAACAATGTGTTATATGAATAATTGTTTTATGAATGAGTTTATTTTTTTACTTCTTTTATTCTGTTTTCAATCATGTTTGGTAATAATATGAGAAATAAACACAAAATTGTGAGCCATAATTGTAACCAATACTACATCTACGAAAACGCATTATTATACAAAAAACCAAATTTAATTGTAAGTATAATTGTTAGTATTTGTAATGCCGTGAGGCAAAGAAGGACGACTACACCTTTTAATAAATATAAAAATTGTGTTTATTAAGAAGCAGTTTGAGAATTTGTATACAAAATCCATAGTTTTACATATTATCTGCCCCTTTCCCCATCTAAAATCTATCTTATCGCCGGTTGTTTTGTGGTCGATACGTTAGGATATTATTCTAATAATTACTATAAAAATAAATAATTTTTACTGTTGTTGCTAATTATAAAAAGACCGTTTTACTTATAATAATAAGGGCTGTACTTCTGAAAACGTTCACGCTAGATTCAGTTATAATTTTGCAAATAATTTCCACTTTGTGTAGGTACAATGTTTGAAAGAAGCATTTCTAATGACCTCAAAAATAGAGTAAATTCACAGATGAGATATGGAAAATACCTATTATTAAATGTATTTTTCTGTTTCCAGTCTCTTGTAAGTACAGTAGTGTCTCCTTCCAAATTGTCAGGTCGCTCATAATGTTACGAAATTATTCTCACTGATCGAGAAACAAATAAATGATGAGATATTATTAGTCTACCAAACCCCGTGTAAATGGTCTGCCTGAGTAGATTTGGACCCGTCGGTAACTGAGTCCACAGTTTAAATAAGTGTCAATGGATTTATAGTACATATGTGTACCAAATACAGTATTCTCTCCGTAAATGTTAAAAAGATCTCTACCGTAAGTGTTAAAATTGTATCCCCAGTCAAGAATGAAACACAATCAGTCGCCGAAACGACGAGAATCAAATATCGGTGAGACACGTACTAATGCAAGCAAAAGAACAGATTGTAACTTTCTTATTTCTTACTATTTTTTCATGAAACTACTAATGCAAGCAAAAAAACAGATTGTAACTTTCTTATTTCTTACTATTTTTTCATGAAACATTTACTGTCGTATTTGCCTAGTTTTCCTGATTAAAATGACACCAAACATGATATGAATACGATCGTAATTACAGTAAATATT